AAAGTAAACATGGCATAGTTTAAAGACATTAAAACTGCTTWATGTCCCCACTACCTTTATCCCATATAAACTATAAAATACAACAAACTTAGCAAAGAAATGCCAAATGCAAAGCTACAGTCCTGATGAATAAAGCTCAGAGAAATCTGAAATCCTCCTTCCTACTGGAAATTTTTGGCAAGCATCATTTAGCAATGCAATCAAGACAAAACAACATGGGAGAGGTAGAATTAACTCTTAAATTGAGATGAGGAAGAAAATTTAACTGTTCTAAAAAGTTTTAACATCTGCTGCACCAAGAGGAGCTGATATTGTTACTTTCCATCAATYAAMATGYTTCCTGCATTGCACCATTAGTACAYTTGAGTCTGAAATTCAAGTTAAGAGCTTCTGCACGCTCTGGGATATCTAACTTTCATATCTGATGTCTCCGTGGTCTGTTTTAAGGCTTTAAGGCATTGACACCTTCTAGCAGGTTGACAGGAACACAACAGGCATGTTAAAATGGTGGAACAATTTATAGCAATTTGCTTTTAAAAATATAATTGTCAAGGGAAAAGAAAATCAGATCATATAAAAAAGGATGCTTATTAAAAACACTAATTTTATTGGAAGCAATGGAAAATCAATTAAGCAATTTAAAAGTCAGGTATCAGACTGAAGTACACATCTGTTATACAATTCAAAAATTAAGAAGCTGTCTGAAGGTGTACATTGATCAGGCAGTTTCTTCCTAACCCTCACTGCTTCTGTAGGTAGAAGGATTCAATCTCACATAAAATATACAGATAGAGGTGATTATTTAAATAYATATTTAACATAGTCCATGTGAGAAGGAATCACTATCCGAGGGAGTTTATTCCAATACAATATTCCTATCCCTAAACTCATAAAGTGGTTTAAAACAGTAATGCTCCAGACATGTTCTGTCTTCTGGTATTTCCAGGGCTAAAACAAAGGTTTATATAATTCAGAATAAAAATTCCAGATCCATTTGCCTCTGGATCYATAATCCAAAGAAAATGGAAGGTGGCCTTAAATTGCAAGTTCCTGAAAGGGAAATTGAGAAGCAGGATTTTTTTTTTTTTTTGTCAAGGACACTATTCTTGTGTTTCTGGTGATTAAAATACAGCACCTGGAATATCCTTGAAGCAAGGAAACTCCCCTTTCAATCCCCCTGTCCCTCATGCTTCTCCCTTTTAACAGGCTGGAATAAACMCACTCACATTTCAGCCTGACAACCCTGCAGATTTTCTCAAACAAATGGCTCRAGCAACTGTGTGCAAAGATATTGCTGCAGGAGAGGAGGGTAAAACGGTGCCAGYAACTTCCACCTGCACTGTCCTGGTAACATTTAAACGTAAGAGAATGGAAAGTTGGAGGAAGTTTTCCTCAGAACGCTCCAAGTCTTAAAATACAGCACAGCAATCCAATGCAGCAGTACTCACATGTATTTATAGAACTTTAGTACAAGAGAAAATTACCACTGAAAAACTTTGTTATTACAGAACTGTTCTTACAGTGTTTCTGGTATTGTGGCTGAGGTTAACACAATAAAACTGAAAAACACATCACACAAACCAACCAGCGACAGGACTTTCCATTCATAGCARAATTAACTCATCTTCTAAGCAAAACCACGAGAATAAAAACACAAAATGCCTTAAGGAAGGCTGAAGGACTGGCATGCACAGGCTGGAATAAACACACTCGCATTTCAACCTGACAATGCTGTGAATATTCTCAAACAACTGGCTCGAGCAACTGCGTGCAAGCTCCCCGAGTGAGGTGCTACTTACTTCAGAATCCTGTAAAAAATCCTCTTGTCTGCCTTTACACAAAGAGGACAGAAAGAAGGTAGAGATGCAGCAAAAGGGGTCAAAGTCTTCTCAAAATAGTTACTGATAACGCCTGAAGCTCTCTTTGGCCAAGTACTTCATAATTCTTGTTTTAAAGAAGTTTCTCGCGTCAGCTAGGATTCTTTTCCCAAGGAACTAACACTCACCCGCTTAGAAAACAGAAAAGTGACTTCACAAAAGTTACCAAATATCAACATGCATGGCTGGCAAGAACATGTGCAGTCAAGATGATTCAGATAAGTCAGATAAATTTAGAACAGCGCTTTCCTAAAAGCATGCGTTCACCAAATGCAGTAAATATGCAGGAGCTATATCCAAGTGCTGATTCCAAACATCAGAGCAAAAAATTTATTAGTGAAAATCTCCTTTTAAGAGTTCGCTGCCATCTGAAGTCCTCAACAGTGTTATTCCTTGATCTGCCTTTAGTATTTCCATCCATCACTGGATTTATCCACATAAAAAGCTATAGGCTCTCCAACCTCRGAGGACTAAGCCAAATGCAGTGTGGCAACTTCACATAGGACCAGCCTTTTATGGTTGGAACAGTAGAGCTTTGATACAGCTAATCTACCATAAATAGCTCTTGAAACTCAGAAGGATCAAATCAGCTGTTGCAACAGTCCCAGCCTGTAGCTGCTTCAAATCCAATTATACTGTCAACTCTGTCTTGCTGCTCTCCTTTTTATTTCCCCTGTCCAAAACATTTTTAGTTCTCCTCCTGCCAGAAATCAGCTGCTATGGCAAACACAGCAGACTCAAGCCCATTAAACAAAAATTTGAAACAAATGCACAAGTGTTCTTACAATCACCTTAAGGAAGACAAGTTTTATTCTCTTAAAAAACAGCTTAAGTACTTGATGCCCGTAAAAAAAGAAATTATCAGCCCTGACTTATAATGCAAACACATAATTTGAAATAAGCAAACAGTTCCAAGAGCAGAAGCACAGCTTTAAAAGGTGGGTGATACTAAGCAGATAAACTTCACGGAGCACTATCCATGTTTCAGGTTAAGGCATAAGGCACTGAATTGCTTGCATATTTTTTTCTGTAACCTAAATACACTTGAGAAGTACTAGAATACCCTGTTAGAAATCCTTGAATTACAATGTTTCCTTTCAGGTACTTAGAATCATTTTCCCACAATGAAGTTGAGAACTATAATTTAAGAATTCTTACAGAATTAAAAGCTTCCAAAATACATGTTTACTAACCATATAAGTTGGTATAGCTGAAAATTACCACWAGGAATACAAGAGCATAGTAATTACTGAGAAACCAGTGCAGTGGCATTGTTCTGAAAACAAAATCAGGTTTGAATCCAAGGAAACACAGATGAGCATTATCTTCATGTTCACCTCACAGTGCAAAGAAACAGTGCACAATTCAAGTATGTAACTGTATGCAAATAATAGGTATTTTTCCAACCATATATTATTAACATCCCACCAGTCTTTCCAAAACAATACATCCCAAAACATCAATTACTCCAGTGCAGCAAAAGACCTCGGTAATGCAGGCACGTCAAAGGGGAAGAAGTGTCTTGTGGGCAAGGTCTGTATCTGTGTCTCCCACAAGCACATAAATTCTGAACATTGCCAGGGCATCCTCCTGAAGTATTGGGCAGGACATCTACATCTAGGCATCCATCAATCCTTATTCAAGCAAGGGTAGAAAAGGATTGCCAATTCCTGGTATGCAAACTCCTTTAAGAGCTTCTAAAAGCAACTCTAATGGAATGGCCAAAATAAAATAAAAATCATAATCTTCCACTTAATAGAAAACTGTCAGCCATACACCACCTTACTCGTTTTCATGCTTGTGTTAAATTTTATCATCTCAGTTAAAGGGCCTGGGTTTTAACTGATTTGTAAAGCATGTAATGTACCTTGAACACAAAAAGAGTCACTAATTGCCTAGAAAGACAATAACAAAATAACTTCAATTAAGTGTGGGTGGGTGAAATGTACTGRTTTGCTGTCTCCTGTAAATTGTTCATGGTGAACCCAGCTGGGTCACCTTCCAAAAATCTCAGTAAAGTCAAAGAGCTGTGAGAAGGCACAGACAGTTTTCTCTTTAAAACCTAGCAAATGCCCAACTGAATCAATTCAGATAGATGGGGGACAGTGAGCTTTTCATTAGCGTGGAGTAAACTCAGCATGTGACAAGTAGATTAAACAGACCAGCAAGATCTGCCTGAGTAAGTTTATCACTTTGAATAGAGCTTGTACAACATGTCACATTATGCTTCTGCATTGTGGTTGAAAAAAAAAGTAGCTGAACCAACTGCTGACAAAAGTTCAACAGAGCTCTTAAAAATGCAGCAGGCATGCTTGCAGCTGGTATAGAGAGAGAGCACTCTGCCACAGCACAGCCACTGGTGCTTTATGCCCTATCCATAACCATTAAAATCCAAGGTCTTTTATTACTGTGGAATTTGAAGGATGCAAGTTATGACATGGAAACACACCCCCTCTCTAGAAGCAAGACAGGGATTGCTTGTTTCTTTTATAGAAACCACTCTACATTCATTCTCCATATCACACAAGAAACTATGTTTAAGATTTCATGTTTGTACCTAATCTAAAAAAAAAAATACAAATCCCGCATGTGCTTTTTCACAGAACATAAGCTTCCTTGACCATAAGCACAAAAAGCAGAGCTGCCTACCACAGAAATACAGCAGTTTCTTCCTCTTTCTCCCCAATACAAAACTTCTGTAAACAGGGAGTAGAGGAAGCCACAGACAATACATTAGTTAACCACTATCCCTTTACAACAAACCTAAGATCTAGAATGTATCTTCCAGACACTATCAACTCTGTCATCAAAAAGAGAGTAAGACTTCTCAGGCCACAGGCTCTGTCCCAATGAAGACAGAAGTGCAAATTAACAAATATGYTTCTGATACCAAGGTCTTGCTTTGCAAGACAGGATTTGAACTTCAATGAGTAACAGTCAAGAAATAACACCAGGGTAACACACAGTGAAGTGCACACAGTCTGGATTAAAGCATTCTCTCATTTAACAATTCAGCTTCCCAGTTTACAGATATCTTCTTTTCAGCTAGGGAGGGGAGGGGAAGGAGAGACTTCCCAGAAAAAAAMCCARAACCCCAGACAAATTTAATAAAAAGCGGCTTACCAGCATCCATTGTTAGAATCATGACCCCACTTCTGTGTCCCAGGAAGCAGGAAGCCTTACCCATCCAGTGTATGCGAATGACTCAGAAGGACAGCATGGCTTTGTTTCAGCTTATATCTTCTGGCTCATTCACCCCTCCTCCCTTTTGTGGGATAAAAGTGTTGCCTGTGCCTGRCCATTCCTATTGGCTCAGCTAGGGGAACCTACTCATTTAGCACATTCAAGTTTCTGTAACAGCCTAAAATGACTCACAGAAGATTTTTTATTTTCTTACAAAAAAAACAAAAAAAACAAAACACTAAACACCAACAACATTAAAAAAATCCCCAAACCCCAACACAAACACTTTCTGTCTTTCTGAGAGAAGAAATGATTCATTCTTTCTTTATCAGACACATAGTACAGTGATGTTATTGCTACAGGGATAAACAATTCCCTGYGCTCTGAATCGAGGAGAAGGTGGCGAGTCAGGGAGGACAGTCCCACAGTGCTCAGTTGCATTGTCTGTCCATGGGAATAAAGCCACATGTTTTGTGTCAAAGCCTATGCCCTCCAACCCAGCTTATCTTCAATGCAAACTGTATATAATCCCAAAACTGAGGATTCCCTGGCTTGCCTGGGAGGATTTCCTCCCCCATTTTATTTTTAAATAGGCAGAACAGTAAAAGATTGCTGTCTTACTGAAGACACACMCACAGACTCTATAGGCTTAACTCTGTTTTTTTCTTAACCTCCAGGATTCTCTAAGTGTAATAATTGGTATCATATAGGCTCTGCCTGATGAATTTGGAAGCTATTACAATCTATTTGTGAGCCTCCTCTCTGGTGAGATAATAGTGTTTAAAAAAAATTAAAAATCTATCTGGTCAAGAGATATCACAACCCATTGTTTACTTTGACCAAACCACAAGACAGCCTAAAAAGTGCATTTGGGTGAGCAGCTGGAGGGGAAGGGATTTTGTTTCTTTCTGTATTGCAAGATCCTTTCTGTATTGCAGTCAGACCCTGAAAGGGAGCTGMTGTATCTTGGCACCATGAACTGTCAACAGACTCGGTATCTGTGCTTAGGGATCCGGCGAGCACAGAGAATGAAACACCGGTGCTCCTTGCCTCTGATAAGAACTACCTTTTCTAAATAAAGCATGGACATATTAGGCTACTGCCTCACCACATTACTCACCACTAGATAACCTAAGATTCATAACTCTGCGATACAACCACAAGTGTATTTTGGAAGTGTTGCTTGTGGTTGTTGAAATAAACAGAGTACTCCCTCTTCTCCCTCCTTCTGTTTTTAGAAAAGGTATCAGTTGCAAGTCRCTAACACCAAGGTTTGTGGAAGCCACTAATAAAGTCAGAATCCACAATTCTGAGAAATTAGCAAAAGCAGCACAATTGAATGATTGCTTCTCAGATTTCTTGACCCTCTCTCCCTTTGCAGTGGGCTTTACAACAACACACCTGGGTCACTACAATTTGAGGGGAAACATATTCCTAAAGTTGAAAATTTCTTATGTTTTCAGGGGGGGACTGCAATAAAGGTTTTGGGAGGAGGCATGAGTAATTTAGATCCTAGAAACAAAACTGAAATTTTTCAGTGGATGGAAATTTGGGAAAAATGACCCAGGTGGACAGCTGCTTCTCAAACGCAATACTACAGAAAGTACAGTGTCAGAGCTGAATGGATTTGTGGTTTCATCCAAAGCTCACAATTTTCAAAGAGTCAGGACACTGTTTTGACCATAATAAATAGCTAAGGACATTTGGCAACAGCCCATGTGCAGAGATACATGTCAAACTTCAGGAATTATTATCAGGCATAGCTTCTTTCTTATCAACAATTATTAATCTGAAGAAAAATGCAGCAGTAAGAAAGAAGCTTTTGCACTTGTCTTATTCCACTCTTTTTCACTTGACATCTTCATTAAAAATTTCCAATGCTCTAAACTAAATTCATGACAATAAAAATCAAGGAAGGCAATCCCAAAACCTGGGGGAAACCTTAKAGAGAAAACAGCACAACACTCGTGTTTACCAACAAGGTAGAAGGGGAAGAGCTGGAGAATTTTAAACACAACTGAAGACCTTGACTCTATGCACAAGACACCAGGCTAATCCAACATTAACAYTCCCATCCTCAGGTAAACTGAGTGTGAGAAACGCTACCAGAGAACACAGGGACAACACATACTATGCCAAACAAACACATTTTAAGAAAAGCATTGTCATAGCTGTGTAAGAGCAAACTACTTTCGACATTTTTTTGACGGGATGACATTTCCTTTAAGCTTGTCTTATGCAAGTACCACTGTCCTGGAACAGTAAAATGCGGAAGTTCAAGCAAACTGTTCTCAAAACAGCGAAAAAATAACCCCAGCTGCTGGGTCAGGGGGACCTGACCAGGGGATGGTGAGGTACTGCATGCATTATTTTTTAAAATGGTGCAAGCATTAATAATTCAGCTTACAGATATTTGGAAAAGCAGCTGAATTGAAACCCTAGTAGAGAGGAAAAATCTCACATATCTGAGGAAATAAATAGGAAATACATCTATTTGCCTTTATCCTCAGAAGAGAGAGGATGATGTTTTCAGCTAGGCTAGCAAGAACATTAACSTGAAGGAGAATGCCTCACAGACATGAGATTTATAAAAACTGGGCATCCCAAATGTTCCAGTTCTATACCAGCTGGCAGAAACAGTTCACTGTTTTTCAAACTACACTAGCCAGCAAGAATTGGCTGAAATGTATGTAATTAAAAATACCCCAGTATCAGAAGGAACACTGTATGTTTCTTCACATATCAGCAAGACTGCTAAAGTGTCCAGCAAGACAGAACACGAATTTGCACATGAAGCCTTGGCTTTGTTGACTTTGTGGAAGTTATGATAAATTATATGCTGCTAGCAAAGCTAACACACTATAAATTAAAAAAACAAAATACCTGTCCATAAACTGTCTCGACTGTAATGATATGAAAAGAGAGTGTGACTCATCTGACTGTGCCCTGCACATTTCCCAGCCTCTAAAGTTAACTGGTTGGTCTTAYTCAGATGCAACTCCAGCAACAAAGCAGAAAGCTGGGTCATGGCCTCCAGAAATCACCAATGCTTTTCCCTTATTTTTCAGTCTGATAATCTGAAGTCCAGTAGTTGCCTAATGTATGATATTATAAGGCAGTAACAGGTACAGTAAATACTGCATAGTATTGCAAGATGCTRTGAAACACTTGAACATGTTCACCTGAACACTGTATATCCAAATAGCCCGAGGCTCAGTTATCAATGGCCAGATTTGTCACATCAAGTGTGTAAATTGCATACTGTTAGCAAACTCCAGTTATGTAAATTCCCTACTAAAACAAACATTATTTTAGTTGCTGACTTTTTAAAATACATCAGGATACTCATGGTCTAATAGCATCATCTTCTGAAGGTTACAACCATTTTATGATAGTATATACTAAGAAACAAGTTCAGCAAGAAATTCTCTGAAGGCTTGACTTACTTGAGTTTTTGTTGAAAGAAGTTAAGTACACATTACCCTTAAAAAACTAAATTCCCATGACTGTTCACATAATTTTCAGCACCTGTATTAGTCTTGCAAGAACACGCCACTTCTGCTCACCTTCATTAAATTATTCACTGCACAGAAAGTATGCAGCTAAGAACTGTGATGTGATGTGCCTGCTCTAACATTTTTGGGGGAGACTTTATTCATATGCTTTAATCCTGWGCTGTCAAGATTCAGTTCATGTTTTCCATGATCATGCTCCAAGCTCAGTCTTSAGGAATCAAGGTTAGGTTTTGCTTTTCTACTGCCAAGCCTTTCAACTTCTCAATCTTTCTAGAGCATGTAAGGGTAGTCCCTCGCTTTTCTTCTTTTTAAGTAACATTTTAAAACCAGCAGAAGAATTAATTCAAGCTTCCACTCTTTACACCTAGTTCTCCCAAACTTCAGAAGCTATGATAAGCTGCAAGGAAAACAGCTCTCACAYAGTTCTGGAGTAACAACTGAAATGGTGCCTTCCACATCTCTGAGAGAAAACACAGACTACAGGTGGCAAGAGAACTCATAGGAGGACAGCCCTTGCCTGGCATATTAGACATCAATTCTCTTTTAGGAAGGTAAAAATATAGATCATCTATATAATAATTTTGCTGATGTAAACCATGAGACATTCCTGATCACATCCTAAAATCACATCTTTCCAGTAACAAAAATGACACAATTGTCCAAGAGCAAGATTAGTCCCATGCATTACAGAAATTATGCAAGCTCTGCCTTTGTGGGACCAWCAGAACTTGCTGTGCACTTACACACACAAAAAGGTCCCTTTTGTTCTTGGTTTGTGTTCACATAGGGAAATGCTTTTCCACAGCCAAGAACTGAGAAAAACCTGAATCAAACCGAAACTGCAAAGATTTAATCAAAAGTCTGCAACATGTACAGTGAGTAACATGAAAGAAAGTACAAACCTGTAATTATTTAAAATGTTACATTTGAAGSAATTGAACGGTTGAAAGTGTTTTATTACACAATATTTAGAAGAACAAATAATAGAAAGGCTGGAACAGGAGGTCCATCTTAGCTGCCTGTTGCCTCTCAGTGAATACTGAGATGAAGTTTCAAGAAGTCCTACTRTAACTTTATTATTGAATAACATTTCTTCTTAAGGTAGCATTAGCCTCTCCTAGGTATTTAAATGCCAATTAGATTTTCTGAAGGTCCTAAGGGCTACTCTAGTATCTTAAATATTATACCACTGCATTTTATTAAAGTACATATGCACTAGGAAGCACACATGGCTCCTTTACACGTTTGATACAAACAACTCCAGGGAAAAAAAAAAGGGAAGAAAAACAACAATCCACAATTCTYGGTTCACATCTGCATCTCTTTTTCAGCAAAGGCTTACCTTAAATCCCAGCCCTCCAGGCCTGACCCTCCAGGTACATCTGCATCACCTTGTCCAAGCAGCTCACAATCCAAAGGCAGTCCTCCTCCTCCTACAAGAAACAAACACAGCAGGGAAAGGGTGAGATCCACAGKGCATGCCAGGGTGTGACAACCATTTCAGA